GTGTATAATAATGAAATTCAACAGGAATGTGATTATTTTGTAACGAACGATTGAATTTACCAATTAAAATTTTTCACGTGACTAAATTAACCGGTTAACCGGTTAACTCTTATTTTTAATGGTTAATTAACCGGTTAAAGAATTTTTGCATGGTGCCAACCTCTAATCAGATGTTCTTTGTGGATCATGAGATCCTTCTCTGCATGAAACAGCTTGAAATAATTTTCAAATAAAGAAAGTTATAATCCATTATTGGTATTTGATCTGGCACCTCTCTATCCAATTTGTCCAATAAATAAAGTTCTAAAAGTTTTGCTCCCTCAAAAGTAATAGTGTTAATATGAGTCAATGCATCTTCCAGGGCTGGTTTGATTGAATTATCAATTAACATGATATTAAGTGTGCACTTTATAGTTCTTATTAGTGTGAGCGTATTAGTAGAATTGAAGGTTGGGTAAATTTTTTTGCTCAGCTAACTTTTTGTATTAAACAGTCTTTACTGGTTATGTGTTGATGTTTGAGAGAACCACATTTACACCTTTTGAGAGATGGCAAATTTTTAGAATATGGTTTTGCCTCACGCTTTTGACTTGACATTTTTTTATTTACATGTAAAAAGTTTTTTTTGAAAAGATAGTTAATAATTATTATTCGAATTGAATTGTTATTATTATTACTATTAGGATTAATTATAAAAATTTTTTATTAGTGTAGTAGTGTAAAGAATGAATTACTTTCCAAAATGAATTAATGATATATAAATTATTTTTATTGTCTTACAGTTATCAATCTCAAAGATAATTAGTAATAGTCAAATAAATTAAACAAGCTTACAACTGAGAACGCAATGTGAGTTTCTGCTACGCGAGAACAAAATTCATTTATTTTAAGTTCGCAAAAAGCAAAAAAATGACATCATTCAGGCCAAGACAACAGCCTATTTTATTAATTTCAAAACATATAAATAAGACAGCCATCCCTCATTTTATTTTCTTATCTCCCTATGAAAATTTGTGTAGAAATCCATTCCCAAGGTGCAGTGTTGAACAATGCATTATCCATATCAATTGGAATGTACAAAACGAAAGAATTGCCATATTATTAGGAAAAGATTGTAGCAGCAGTAGCAAGCAGTGGTATCATTATTATTAAGTCATTAATTAAAAAAATATTAATATATGGTTAACTGGTTAAATTAACCGGTTAATTTTAACCAGTTAATCAAAAAGAATTAACCAGTTAAAAAAATATCTTAACCGGTTAACCATTTAATTGCAGTTAACCGGTTAACCGCGGTTAAACGGTTAATGGTGCCAACCCCTACATCTGATGAATCATTAAATACATTACATGATAATCGTCATGCCAGTCAAAGACCTCTGAACATGCAATGGTGTCAACATGTGGAATTGGGCAAATTATAAGTCTTTCTGCCAACCAATATCTCACTAATTGTCATAGCCATGTATCCAGAAATATTTCACAATGACTTTGCAAATTCATCAATTTTTGTCTCCATAACACACCTGAAATTTGTAATAAAATAAAAACATTAAAATTGGTTAATTTGATATATAAGGCACTGGTGTCAATATTAATAATATTGGTGAAATTGTGAAGAACATAGATGATGCATCACAACAATGCCTAAATTGCATTTTGGAATTATATAATGAAGTTAGAAATTTTGTTGGGGACTTTGGATCTTTCAGAGGATGCAATGGGTGGAGCAAAAAGCTGGCAAAATTACTTTCCTTTGTTATACAAAATCTTGAAAATATTTGAAGAAAATAATAATATTAAAGGGTTGAGAATCTTTGATATTATCCCTCAATTTAGCTTTCATACAAGATATATGCCTCTTGATACAAATGCACTTTACAAAGTCTTAAAATCAATTGTCATCCATCCTCTTGAAAGAGGGATAAATGAAACACAATTTGGGGATAATGCCAATTATTATTGGAATCAGGTATTTGATATCAACAAGCATGGGAATAAATTCAGATTTTTTTTTGAGACTGACTCGGTTGGTGTCAGTATATCAATCTTCAAAAATACAAAGGATGAGTTCATTGAGGATAATTGTGGAATAACTAATATTTTTGGAAAAAAAGATGATTGGTCTTGATCCTGGGTAGAGCTCCGAACGAGTCGGGTCGGGTCGTGTCAGTGGTTCAACCCGACCCGACTCGAACTTTTAAACAGTTGACCCGACCCGACCCGTCAGGTCAACGGGTCACAGATTAAGAAAATTACAAATGTAGATATATTAATTGATTTAAATATATACAGTACACACAATATGTTCACTATTACTGCCCAACATCATTGATGGTTTA